TAAAAATGGAAACAAGATCAAAAATCATGTTGAATAAAGGAAATAATATTTTTCCTAATAAAAAACATGTGGAAAGAAGAATAAAATATTTTTCTATAAAATTCAACCTAATTTGGGTAAAAAAATCCAACAACTCAAATAGAGGCTAAAAATAATACTTTGCTTTAAATGGATTGACATATTTTTCTATTTAGGGTTCGTTTGAGCCCAATCTCATAAAAGAATATGTTTTGAAAAAGTGGTTTTTTTTCGATAATATGTGGTTAAAGTGTAGGGAATTCTTTTTAATTTATGCATAAAAAAAACTTATTGAAAGAACGTGTAATTAAAAATGAGTTCAAAAAAAGAATGTTTTTTTTAGAATGGGACAAACATGAGCTTAATTACATATGAACATATATGATTTTTTGAATAAAATGATGATAAATTGTTTTCCAAATCTCTTTATACGAAATGAATTTTGAAAAATGTCGTATTTGTCTAAACAACTTGTTGAAAAAGAATATGAATATGTTTGGTAGAGATTAAAATCGAATTAAAATTGAAAAATTAGCCGTTATTGTTGAATTTTATTATACTAGTGGGACCCAATAACGGCTATATTTTCAATTTTAATTGGATTTTAATTCCTCCCATACAAGCTCTATATGTATAGAACTTGAGTACATTAAAATCATTAAGATAAATAAATGTTGATGAAAACCACGGTGATAGTGTAATTAAGAGAGATGATATGAATTTCTTGATCTGTTTTGTATTAGCTTCAACAACCTTATCAATTCACTAAAATACCAAAAGAAAAAGAAAAAAAAACATATGTTGAAAATGAAGAAAGCGTGCTTGTATCTTTTTCTCTCGTAGAAGAATCATAGTAAATAATGTTGACGATGCTACACAATTAAAAGATAAATGATATGTTACTAAAAAAGATTACAATGAAAATGCAACAAGATGCATAAGTTGAGAATTAATGGTGCAACTTTCCCCCTTTCTTTGGTACATGAATGATCAAAATTTGGAAAATTAGGGTTTGGCTCCTCAACTTCTCATGTGGTGTGATTGTGGACCACCAACCTCCAAAAGTGAGAATTTAGATTCACATCCTTTTTAAATCTATGAATTTGAATCCCCGCACAATCTAAACTGTCATCATGAACAATAAAATTGTTTGTGATTTTTACATGATTTAAAGTTTGAAGGCAAAGCCGTAAAATCACTTAACATTTCTGTACAATTTAATTGTGCAAACTTAAACTTGATGGTTGCAATCAAGTGAGTACCAAATTCAGAGATTTCAAAAGATTGGAGATTCAAAATCTCATTTTTGAAGATTGAGGATCAATAAACATACCACATAAAAGGTTGAAGAGTCCAACCTTAATTTATCCAATCGAAATACAAGGAAATTCTCAATATACTAAAAGATTTTTATGTAATTCTAGAAAAAAAATTTAAAAATTGTAGGATCGATCGTCCCTCCCACTCTCACGACCCCTCACAACCCCACCACCCACTCTCTATCTCTATCCATATATATGCCACTGTATGTAAACAGCACTTGCATAGTGGCCAAATGCATGGTGCAAAATATCCATAATTGAAAATGCATCTCGGAACCCATCAAATTCAAATGTTTAGGATTTGAAAATATCTTATACAAATGTATCGAGTGTACCACGTCAATGTGACAAAACAAAAATATATTTAATTGAAGAGTTGTCACTGTTATTTCTTTTTCTATAAACGCTATTTTATATTCGATTATTCATATCAAACCCTTAATTATTAGTACATGTTACGTTTTACAATTTCTCAATTTAAAACACAATCAATTTTTTCATTCAATATTTACCCTACGCATCATATTATATCGGTTCAAATAAAACAATTTTCTACAATTTTCAATAGATAAGTATATCGCAATTGTGAACGTTTTCAAGAGAGTTTTCTACTATTAATTCTTTATTTTTTTAAGTAACCTTTTTTTAAACAAGCCTATCGGCCTTACGGATGGGCATACGAATTGGCCCGTTCATTAAAGCCTAATTTCCCGTTGCAATATTAGGCCGCAAATTTCCACTTTTTCCCATGTTTCAAATATGTTGACTTTCTGCAAATTTCAATAAATATAGGGTATATCACAATTAGGAACGTTTTCAAGGGGATTTTCTGCTATTAATTCTTTTATTTTATTTAAATTTTTGAAGTAAATTTTTTTTAAATAAGCCTATCGGCCTTATGGATGGGCATCATACGAATTGGCCCATTCATTAAAGCCTAATCTCCAGATTTACATTGGGCAAGGCCCGTACATAAGGCCCACTGCCCGTTGCAATATTTAAACACCATTTTCCACTCTAAAAACCACGATCATGCATAAATGTAGGAAACCCGTGCAATGTCAATTTCTCTTATCACCGCCTCTTTCGATGTCAGCCAAACAAAATCATTGAATCAAAGTTTTGAAATTAGATGCAAAGAGATTCATTTGATTTTTGATATTAGAAATACATATTAATTCATATAATTAAATAAATTAGTTTAATTTTGAGATGATAAAGATTAATTAATTTTTTAGAGAAATTTTATTTTAACAAAATGAGAAAAAATCAAATCCAAGTGCGTTTCAATGAAATTAAACACAAATCCCAATTGATCATTTAACACATCAAAATGATTCAGTAGCAATGTTTTGTAGCATCACTCGAGATCGAATCTCTCAGTCCAAGTGTTGGAAATTTAAATATTGCTTCATCCTCATCAATTTGATCACCAGAAATCAATTCTAAGATTTTATTCTTAAAAATTAACATAAAATCTTAAGAAATTTAACAAGAAATATATAAAATTTATTAAGAAAAGAAAAATACGAATTGGTGGGTAAGTAGATTACTCAGTGGCAAATTTAAGTTTTAGGTTCGATTCTGCCAGCAAAGCGTCCTCAAATTTGAATTCAGAAGAGGGAGCTTTTTATCCTCATCGTAAATTTCATTTTCCCCACACAATCTTCAAAGGCAAATCAAAATATGAATTTCTCAAAATATACAAAAAAAATACAAAATAGAATGCGAAAATATAGATAGAGCTGCATATACGTTTAATAAATATAGATTGAAAAAAGGAAAAAATGATATAGGAAGAACGCTCGGTTCAGCGGGGTTATCGACACGCAAGTAATCATCTCTAGAAAGAGAGACCTGCAATCCGGTCTGTTGAGCTTGAAATTTGGAAGTCGTCACTGCGAATCTCCCTTCAATTTGATTAAACATTTAAAGAAAATCAAATTGTAACTGTAAAATCAAAGGACAGAAGAAAATGAAAATTAAAATACCAGATCATCCTAAAAACTGCGTGAATGCAGCAGTTTATATGAGCATTTATATAGATAAGAATTAGGGTTTTGTTCAACACAAGACTCCGGCTTTTTCTTGGGCTTCATGATCATTTATGTCGTGAAAATTTCACAAATAGCAGTAGATCTGACTAATATGGATTGGTAGGACTCTTTGGTAAATCTCCACCAGGTAAAAAAAAAAACATGAACGGTCCCCTAACTTCACAATGTATGCGGAAAACATCCTTAAACCTTAAATGGAACTTCATTAGTCCATTACATGTTAGTTGTGAACCCGTTAGTCCCAAAAAAAAAAAAAAAATCTCTTTCATACATGGACAGTGAATTGATGACATGGTATCATGTCTAACGTTACTTCGACAAACTAGGAAATTTTCATTTGTACAAACAATGGATGACAATAGAGGTTGACAACCTCTTATATGCGTGCGGGCCTCAAGTGATTAAAAAATTCCAAAAGAAAAAGTAGGCCCCCTATTGTGAATATTGGTCATCCTCCATTATACATGTAACATGGTTGGACAAACTATACGTCAGCAAGGATAAGATCACACCATTTTTTAAACAAGAAATACGCTTTTATTGTAGTTGAATTATGAAGACAATAAAATTAAAAACAAGAAAAAGACACTTTTGTCAATTATTCCCAAGAAAAAGAAAACCAAACCTTATCCATTCTTATGAAATGTCCAAAAAGACATTTTCCTACTCAAATCATATTCCTAGTTGGATTTTTTTTTTGCTTCAATTCGACCAAATCTGCCTCCACTCAAAATTTCTCTCTTCAACATCTCAACACTGCACGCCGCACCCACTTTCGTACCATGGTCACTAACTAATAATAAAGATTGTATGGTCGTGCTAATTTTGTTGTACCCAACGGGCTGACGAATAAAAATATCATATATTATTTTTCTTCACATTTAATATGAGGTATTATTTTATCTATGTTTGTTTGTTTCGTTATCGAAATGTATGTGGCTTCAAATTTCAGTTATCATTAGCACGAAATGTACATTTAGAACCTGTTTGGTACACATTAAAATGAAAGATTGCATTTTTTTGAAGTGATGTGATGGGGAATACGTGGTTGAAAATGAAGGAAAAGTTATTGATATGATGGAAAATATTATTTTATTGAAGAATGTGTGGTTGAAAATGAGTAGAAGAATTGTGGCCCTCTCCAGAAGGGATGGAGTTAGTCGCGCGCGCACTGACAATCAAATCAGTTAGGAAAATAATTTAGGGTATGGGAGAGTTTTGAACATAAGCTTCCAATCAATAAAAAAAAGGGGTTGGCTTGGGGGTAGATGACGAAAAATGTATGTAGCAAGAATATAGCTTTGAGAGTCTAAACATGTATTTGTTGATAATTATATAATTTTATGGTTAGCTAAGTGAAAAAAGAAGAAGATGAAAGTGACATGTTCCAATCATTTAATTTGGATCGCGACCAACGGTACACTAATAACCCACAATCAAATTTCCCACCAGATTTTTATCCTTTGAACAGTTCTATTTCTATAATATGCCCACCACTTGAAACCAACACTCTACTGTAATATTCCCTTTTGTCTCCATTCATCTATACTCAAACTCTCAAACAAATTGCTTTCAATTCTACAAACTCTTTAATTTTCAAGAAATGTTTTCTTCATCTCGAGTTTTAGCAATTTCACACTCAACTACACCGTGTTATTCATCCAATTCTCGACATTATCTCCAGGGAAAGCTAAAATCTAATCTCAAATGGAGATCAATGGCATTAGATTCAGACGCTGATTCAATGGATTCAGATTCATCGACAAATGAAAACTCTGCAGCGTAAAATATTTATAAACCTGTAACATATGATGTCGTTTTAACATAGTTCTAGATTTGTGAGCGTGTTCAATTGCAGGTTTTGTATTATAGAAGGGCCGGAGACCGTGCAAGATTTTGCTAAACTGGATTTACAGAAAATTCAGGCTAATATTCGAAGTCGTAGGAATAAAATCTTTTTACATATGGAGGAGGTTAGTTTTCACTTAACAAGGTTAATGTTTTAAGAAGGAACACCAAGTCTTAATAGATTGTTTGATTCTTCTTTTTGAATGAGTTATTGGTGTGCAACTCTTTAATTTCTAGTATGTTATGCTATTTATATATGCGTTGTACTGTTGATTTGTGGTAACAAAAAAATTCGTAGGTTCGTAGGCTAAGAATACAGCAAAGAATTAAAAGCGTGGAGCTGGGGATTTTAGAGGAAGAGCAAGAGAATGAGCTTCCTAATTTTCCTTCATTCATTCCATTTTTGCCTCCTCTGGTATGCTTTCTTTGCATATTGTTAATTCCTGTCTCGTCTTGCTATATAGTTAGTGTCTAACAAATTTATCCTCCCAGACATCTGCAAATCTTAAACAATACTATGCAACTTGTTTTTCTCTAATTACTGGCTTCATGCTTTTCGGTGGACTTCTTGCTCCCACTGTAAGTTTTGCTGCACCAGAAAAGTTTCATGGGTTACTGAGGAAATTGTAATTATATGTTCTTGAAAAGGTCGCGTAGGTTCTAATCCATGTCTTGCCTTTTTGTTGCTTATATCAGCTGGAACTAAAACTGGGATTAGGAGGGACATCATATGCTGATTTTATCAGCAGTATGCATCTACCTATGCAACTGAGGTACGCTCCTAGGATGTCCTTATAATGAAGAGAGTAGTTGGTCCCACAAAATATGTGGATAATAGTTGTGAAGACGCTTCTGTGTTCTTATTGAGAAAGTGAACTTTGTAGTCAGGTTGATCCCATTGTGGCATCATTCTCAGGAGGGGCGGTTGGAGTAATATCTGCATTGATGGCAGTTGAAATAAACAATGTAAAACAGCAGGAGCAAAAGAGATGCAAGTACTGTCTTGGAACTGGTAGTTAAAGCTCGTTCACACTATTATTTATCTTAATTTTGGTAGGAAATGGTTCGCGTATGTTATATAGACATAATTAACGGGCCTTGTCATGGCTACGACTTTTGCTAATCAAATTTTTCCAACCTTTGACATGTTTTTCATTTGATATAGGATACCTTGCTTGTGCACGCTGTTCAAACACTGGATCTATTGTTCTTATTGAACCGGTCTCAACAGTAAACGGTGGGGATCAACACCTGTCGCCACCTAAAACCGAAAGATGTTCTAATTGTTCAGGGGCAGGAAAGGTATGCTCTCGGAGTTCAGATTTCATCCATTTTCTCATATGTTGAATCACTGCAAGAACCTTTTGTCTTGCATGACCTTTTTGAATGCAAGGTCGAGTACAAAATATTTGTTAATCTTATGTGCTGAATCTTTACAAGGACGCAAATAGGACTTCTTCTTGTTCTTCGCCTTTTTTTTTTTTGGGTGAATAGGATCACAGTGTTGGCTATTGGTATCGGTCTGCCCCTACATTCTGCGTTCGGATTTCTAAACAACTTTTACGTACGATCCACCTTTACAGGTCATGTGCCCTACATGTCTTTGCACGGGGATGGCTATGGCAAGTGAGCATGATCCACGGATCGACCCCTTTGACTGATCATGCACGATTTTTCCCTTGGACTGCGGATTGCTTGAAGGTGTAAAGCTTTGGTCTCACATATAGTTCACACCAAAGCTTACTGTGGTTGTCAAGATGAACACAACTCTGTTTTAGGAAGGCAAAATGTGCCTTTTGTATTGTAATTTCTTGTGATGCTCAGCAAATCTTACCCTTCCTCTCGTTGGTAGGGATCCGGTCATGATTTACGCAAAAAATTACTAATACCGGACTTTGAACTTTAAGTCATTCCAACTCTTATCTCTTTTGTTAGCACATTTTGTGAGGTGTTTATAAATGGGTAGTACTCGTGTGCTCTTCAAGATGTATGACTAAAATGCAGCTTGAATATTTTTAACCGTTTATATACATGAGCTAAACATAGACAAAATTCAAACTTCCTATGCTAAAAAGCATATATAAGCTTGCTCGACATTTCACAAGAAAGGAGTGGATTGTCGACCATATTATCATCTTGAAGTTAAATATGAAATTTATTTTTAAGAATCTAAAATTTATGTACTCGACGTATGGAGATCAAGCCTTGTTTTAGTAGATACTTTTTTTAAAAAATAAATTATGTGAAAAAATGATTTTGTGATAAATGTGCGGTTAGAAATTGGAAAAAATTAGGATTTACGTGTGTGGTTTCTAGAATACCCCAAACTTCTTTAGCAGTTTCACACATCGACACTCGTCTAAACTCTTCAACAGATACAGCCATAAACAGAGCATGTAATGCTTTACTGTTCCAGTTGCATTCATTAAGGATAGTTTTAGTCCACAACGATATGTCATTGGGTGTGACTACACCAGCAACAGTTGTTGAAGGTGGAGCCCGCCCATAGAAAATTGTGTTGTCAAAAATGAGTTTGGAAAAAAAAAAAAAAGAATTCTTGAAAATGAACGCTAAACAGGGCACATAGTCAACTTATGTGGCTTTAGGGCATATCCAACCATACATCACACCAATTTGATTCAAAAATTCACTCCAACTATATACAGAATCTCTGCACTAATTTGGTGCGATGAATAATGTTTGACCAAATTTGGTATGACACTATTCATTTCAAGTGATTTTTAGAGTTTTTCATAATTTCTATTTTGTTGTTCATTGGAACAAATTTTAATTTCTATTATATCATTTTTACGTCCTTTTATTATTAAATAATTTAACTGTATATGTATTTATTCATATTGGATTGTTTTCTTTAATTTTAATTGTGGTATTAAGTGTAATTTTTAAAAATTTATTAATAAATGCAATTTTTAATCAATTAAATATAATTTTTAATTTAATAATTTTAATAGTAATATATTTTATAGTTAAATAATTTGTTAAATAAATTAATTGTTAAAAATTTAAAAAAAAAGAAATAAATATTTGGTATAATAATTGAAGGTAATTTTATGAACTGCGGTGAAAGTTGCACCTAACGAGTAATTATACAATTACGATAAAGATAGAATCGATTAGTTACTTTTACCTTGTTGATAGATTAAGCCCCTGTTTGGTACACATTTTTGAAAAAAGAATGTATTTTTACTGTTGATATGATGGGGAATATGTGGTTGAAAAAGAAGAAAAAGTTATTAATGCGATGAAAAATATTATTTTATTGAAGAATGTGTAGTTAAAAATGAGTAGAAGAATGAGAATAAAAAAAATAATGTGGCTCAAACAGGATGCATAGCAGCTCGATAATTCACGAATTGAAGAGCTCACATCTCGAAGACCCAGCCCATTCTGTCTTAGCAGTAAGTAGGCCTTAGGGAAGAAAGAGAGCGAAGCCAGATTCTTTTCTTTTCGGATATAATTTTAGAATTTAGAAAATAATAAACGGGAAAAAAAGCGGAGACTGACTGAAAATATGGAAGCCCTGAGAGCCTCGTACGGAGAAACATCATCCGACTCCGAAACTGATTCAGTCCCGACCAACTTACCCGAATCGAATAAATCATCATCTACTCTCCCGCTACCCCCTCTTGATCTCCTCCAACCCTCAAATTCGTCCGGTAATCATTTTTTCCCTACTAGTATTTACATATTAATAGTTCTTAAATATTTGCCCACCAATTGTTTGATATTTTGTTTATAAAAAGGTGCATTTGATTGCTCATTACAAAACAATCAAACCAATCGAGTCCGTAACTTTCCCCACGTTGAAGGCAATTTTGCTTTGCATGTTTACATCCCAGGTAATTTATTTATTTAATTTTCTGGATATATTCCTTTTTGGGTTTGATGTTCAATGGTGATTTTGCTTGTTGGGTTTTAGTTAGTATACCGTTGGTACCAAGAAAGGAGCTATCCCTGTTTTTGAGAAGGGTCACAACTGTAGTACCCGGACTTCATGTGGTTGATGTAGATATACCATTAAATAATTTGGTTCATGATGTACGAAAATTGGATCAAGTTGTATTGGGGAGGGAGTTTCATGTGAGTTTGGGACGAACTATTCCTATTCGAGTGCATCAACGGGAATCCATGGTCGGTATGCTTCGCCAAAGGCTCCATTCCCAGAGGAGGTGAGATTGCATGGAATTCAAAACTCGATATTGTGCAGTTTCATATCTTTGGGTTCTCGTGTTTCGAGCTTCAAGTGATTGCTTATAGATTAGTGGTTGCTAAAATGGAAATAGGTATTGGATTGATTTCAATAAATGGGAAGTTTTCGTCAATGATGATCGTACCCGAACATTTCTCTCAATGGAAGTTACAACAGGAGGATTATCTGAGGTATGACATAATTAATTATGCATTAGAAGGTTTATTTCATTTAATTTCCTTAGTAAAGCTATTTATATGGATGCTTTTATGAACTTTTGCTTTAGTTTCCAAAGTCTGTATCTGGCAACTGAAACCGGGGCCTTAGAATTGGACTAAGAAATGCTTATATTCTAATGTGATTAAAGATTTGTATGGATTTTTATCCAAGGCTCTAACCTCTGCCATTAGACATATCCGAAGTGCTTTTGGGCGACATCTACCTAGATTCATGTCTACCACACAATTTTATTTTTGGTCTTACAAATGCAGATGTCCATCTGGACCACTGGATATAACCACACACATTGCATTGTGACACCATGAAAGACAAGGGTTTATTTTACTTTGTCAGCTTTCTAATTTTAATTGGAAGCCTTGGTTATGAGGAAAGACGAGGATTGATTTTTTACTTTCAATCCCTCAATCCTTGTATTACTTCGCTTTGTCATTACTAATGACAAGAAAAATGTGCTAGGCGATGTACCATCTACAAGACAATTTATATGTTTTCTTTTTAATTAATTGAGAACAGTGTTGGTTGTTTCACTTCTATCATGTTCGTGGTGTAAAGATGGTGGATGTGGAGGTTTTTTAAAGAACAAGACTTTTCAGCGTCACTTTAACATTGCCATGTTTGATCTACCCTAACATGAATAGTAATCTATCCTTTCTCTTCAGGGTGATTATAGTTAAATGGTCTTGCAGTTATTATATCAGTAATTTTAGTTAATGTTATGAGCTATTTTATGGCTTAATTGAACAACCTTTCTTGATATATGATTGTATCAATCCTTCGAGTCTACTAGCTGTGTGTGTGTGTGTGTGGCTCTGAGTGTGTGCTTCGCTGTGGGCACGTGTGTCGCTGTGGGTGTGTGCACCATTGTGGGTCTGTGTGTGGGGCTGAGCTCCAATTAATTGTACTTGTTGTCTCTCATAAGGCAATACATTCTTGTCGGTACAACCTGCTTACTAGAAACTTCAATTTATGTTCAAAGGCTTAAACTTATTTAGATTGTGTCATCTCAGATAAGAAAACAAATTCAAGCTGTAAACGAGGTTTACAGGCTACATAATCTACCCGAGTTTTATAAGGTTAGTTTGACAATTGGCTGTGCATTTATCTTTATTTCCATTGGTTTCTGATATTAACAACTCCATTCAATATTCTCCTTTTTAAAGCTGAATTATACGCACTGTGTATATGGCGTTCACAGGATCCACGCCCTCATATATCTGTAGCTTGGGCTTTTGGCGATATCAGTGATTCCCTGAAGAGAGTGATTGAAGAGGAGACAAAGAGAGACATTACCAACGGGAACTTGTCACAGAAGCACATTTTTACCTGCAAATTTAGTGGCATTTCATGTAAAATAGGTAACAAAACCTTTGAGATATGCAGAGTTCAGGAAGATCAGGCTTGATAGATTGTCCACCTATATTGTTTGGAAAGAGATGAAAAAAACCAGTGACATTGTGTTTGTAGCATTTCAAACGTTTTAACAATTATTAGGGTATTTATGGATATTCTCATGTGAAAAAACGACATTGGCATCTGCAGTTGGGTTTCTTATTTGACTAATAAAAATGAGTTCTACTACATGTACAGAATTTTTATACAGATAGGTAGGTTGATAGATGTATGTATGACATGCATCAGAAATTCAAATTAAGGGACAGACGCATATATCTGTCAACCTATCTGCAGTAGTAGAATAATTGAATAAAAATTATGTACATGCAGCAGTCTCCCAAGGACTTCCTTCGTTAAGTGTTGCAATTATCATAATGCCTTGATTATTTATTCATATCTTCCTGATTGATATTGCTTTGGGTACATGGTAGCTAGATTTCTTTCAAAAAGCTTGATGGTGGATAAGAGCGGGGAAATTACTGGTGAGGAACATTAAGAGCACGAAGCTTCCGAAAATGTAGTGAAAATGTAGTGGGAGGCAGCATGCTACTTAGGAGGGAAAAAAGAACGAATCAGATAAATATCACCCTTGTTATAAAAAGAGCCATACAAGCTTCATTTGTTTATATGTATAAGATAATCCTCTCCTAAATCTTCCTTTCAACTAAACACGAACAAATAAGCTCAAAAAAAAATATAAAACGAAAACAATCCAATTCAGTTGGAGCCAGATTCAAAGTGGCAGAAGAGCAAGGATAAATCCATTAACCCCTCCGAGTCAATTATTCAGGCAGAAACTGAGCTGCCCCAATTACAAATTAGAATTGAATGAATCAATGCCAAAAGTTCATTCTGGACTCCAATGGTTATGTTTCTTGAGCAATGAAAAACGGCTCAGAGTCCGGGAATGGACTCAAGATTGTATTTCTCTTGGGCCGAATTTTCAGTGTCAGAATTGTCCTGCCCCTTTGGTTGTTTAATGGCATCCAGAGTTTGTAGGTACGTATAAGAAGCATTACGATTTGATGAAACACTCGGATTGCTAATTTTGCTGGCAAGGAAGCGACGAATCAATCCCCTGAGGAATGGAGCCATGGTATCAGGTTCATGTTCCAAATAGTACATTATTCCACCCATACATGCGCAGAACAAAGCCACCTATAACAGTTCAGAGTCATCCAGGGAATGGAATTAGTTAACCTTCACAGACACTGTAGGGAACAAGAAAATATCTTAAGAACACTACTTCCAGACATGGTTGTTACCTCAGCATTCTTGATATCTGGAAGCAATCGGCGGTTCACTAAAATATACCACAAAGATTCTCCTGCTCGTGGAAGGACATACAAAGCAAGTTCACCTCGTCGAGCTTTCTTTTCTAATAGTACAGAAAGGGCAGCTATTCCTCCAGCAACCCAATATACAAGCTTGTGATCCTTCAATGCTACTTTTCTGTGGGAACATATTACTCCCTGTTCGTGACATGGAGAAGTAAATCAGAGAACTTGTGTAGAGGCATATGAAATTGTACAAAGGAACAGTTACCTGAAAAATTCCAACAAAAGCAGACAAGAAACTTGTTGAGCGAGCAGCTCCTATAACAGCACGCCAGCAGGTGCGAACTGGAGCATCCATGAACTGTAAGTTTTTACAACAAATTATTGACTAGAATATATCAAAAGACTTCAGCTAAATTATCAGCTGCTCTAAAGCAAAATGATGCAGTCCTTCCATGTCCATCTTTCTACTATTATCCTCTTTATATGGAAAGACAATCCACAATGCTGAAAACTTGATGATCAATGTAAATAATTATAAAAGGCTATTCTGGTTTTAAATGCAACTAACTTTTTTTAGGTTTTGCCATCTTCATAGTAATGATGACATCTCAGAAAATATGCACAGGAAACAACACAAAAAATTCCCTTAGATGAGAATATCAAAAACTTCCACAACAGTGAGCCAAAATAGACTCCTGAACTTATTATGCCTTACACTTACTTATCCATATTCCCATAAATAAGTGGATCGGAGGAAGAACGCAGTCTTGCTCTAAATAGGATTGGCATTAATTTGACAAACATGTACCTAAAAATTATGTACTTGGATCAATATGGGAGGTAAAATCCATTCTTGATCTGACTAAGTATATCAGTTTGATCACCAGAAAAGTGCAATATTATAATCCGATATCTCATACAGTAACTATTCATTTCTTCCTTTTTCTCTTTGTTTTTATTTACTCAATCTTCTATCCCCCTCTCTGCTGATTATTTTTTATTTCGTACAATTTTCCAGAGGGAGGGGGGATGGGTTGTGGAGCAAAACTAAATGAAAGCAAGTACCTTTTGCAAGCGAAGAACAACAAAGGGCACAAACGTCAAAGAGAAGTACAGAGGAAATGTTTTCCTAAAAGTAGCTGATGCAGCATTGGCATTATGTAGCAAGCATGAGTTTGTGCCTGGGTGGATCATAGAACAAGGGATGATAGTGGGAAACTCTTCCAACTTTACTGTGCTGGGTCCTTTTGTGGTGGACAGATAAGCTGATAGTGAGGCGACATCAACTGGAGATCCCCTACAACAATCCCTCACAGCTTTATACACAGGTTTAGCAACTGGCCCAGTTTTCTGAATAAAATCTTGATATGACTTTGGCAAGCTCTCAGGACGCATTATGAAGGCATACATAACCTGTTAAAATGTTATGAAATTGGACAGCAAAGAAAGTTATTAGAGAAGAAAGAAATAAATAGAACTTGAACAAATAGAGGGCCATAGTAGAACATATTGTTGGTGAGTTATAATAACTAACACCTCCTCAAAAGTTAGAAGAACTGAAATAATATGTAAAGCCACCTCTTATAAGAACTCATATGCATGCGATCTTAATTTATGATCAATCAGTCTGTAAATTACCTGTGCACATGCTATTGCAAAGAGAAGAGTATCTCCATGACTCCAATGACTTCCCCAAAGGTGAAATTGGTTTTTGGACTTAGCAGAATTATATGCACACTGATTTAATAACAAATCAATTAGACGGGAAAATAAAGAATAGAACTCTTCCTAGCACGTCATGATAAACAAATTTTGAATATCAACAGCAGAGAATTCATCTACCTGAGCAAGCCTAGCCAAAAGATATAAAGCAAGTGTGCGTCTCCGGCCGGATTCATCTAATGCCAAAATAGACAAACCTGCTACTGAACCTGCTAAAATTCTGCTCCATCATCCCCTTTAACAAAGTCATATATATGGAATTGGATACATCATGCATCAACAAGCAAAATAACTTATAGATTTCATAAGAATTGTGGCATATTATGAACTTAAAAATAAAGTTAAAAAAGTATTACTTCATAACTTACGCATTTATTGGCGTTTCTTTCTTTCTCCACTTCCTCAACAAACATCTAAGAGCATGATAGGAACCAGTGAATCCCCCAAAGAGCAAACCAATTCGACATGCTTCCTCTCTTACTATTAGGTCTTTCTCGGATACCAGTTGCTGCAATCAAATCCATAGTTCAGCACAAGATAACGGAGATTTACTGCATTTGCATATCTGAGTGCAGAATGCATTCACATAAATACAGAGAAAAAGGTTTCCCTCAGGCATGTAACAGCAGAAAAGGTTCAATCGGTACCTATGCATTTTACCCATGTGAGGCAAGGCATGCATCAAAACAATAGTACTGCACACGTTCTAAGTTATAAAAAATACTCCAAAAGGCTGAGGTTGGCGATAAAATGTCCTGAAAATGCTAGGGAAATAAATACTTAAGTCACCCTAAAATTTAGTCTTGAGGCATAAGCCTTTATAACTCGAGGCACAGCTCTCAATAAATGGTGACATAAGCCTTACAAATGATGTGGAACTTAGGGTGTAAGCTTCATACTACCTTTAAAACAATGATTATAGGATATCCATAGAGTACAGAATCATTTGTGAATTGAAAATGGAAAATATCCTTTATTTTACATTAGAAAAACTTATCGTAGCAATGGAATAGGTTACTAATAAAAAATAGTATCAACAATGTCTGTAAATAAAAGAAAAAAATTCAGTCAAAATTTAATATCATAAAGATCAACGAGAAACCATTTAAAGTTCATATTTATAAATTTTTTTTAAAGAAATTATATAGTTCACATTATTCAAAGTGCTAAATAATTTTTTCATTTTTCCGAAAATTCTTTAATAAGTGACCTACGAGTTAAACATGTAATCAAGGAATAAGGTGCCTTAGCCATGGCAATCTCCAATTTGGGTATGATAACTACATACCCAATTCCCTCTACGTTATTTATAGTTAGCTACTATATCCTCCCCGCACACTCAGACAAATTCATCTAAAAGCTTCCACACTCTGTCTTTATCATCACACATTTGACACCTAAAAA